ATGAAAGTTTTTTACTGACATGGTCAAAAAAAAAAACACCTGTTTTACATTTCTACCCAAACCAAACTTTACCTGTTTCCCATTGAATCAGATCAGCACATACAGTTTACATTATCACCTGTAGATCTGTGGTTTAAGCTTTAGTTTGTTCTTGACCTCTATGTCAACACTTAAGTATACACTAGAATAGAATAGAATAACAAACCTTCATTGTCATTGTACAAAATATACAACAGAATTCAGAGAGCTACTCTTGATCAGTGCAAACAGTAAAAAAAAACAAACACACAACAATAGACAGAAGGACAGAAAATATAGAATATAGAATAGATTATTCTGAATGATAGAAAATATAGCAATTACAAGTAAGAGTCTAAAATTCTGCTAATTTCAGACTATTTTATGTAGGTAAAGTTTGGAGGAAAAAACTTAACACTGATGCTTTTCAGTAATTTTTTTATACTTTGTTAAATATAAAATATATAAACGTTTTTTTGACTGAATGAGGATACCAGTTTGGTGTAGTGAATTGATCACATAAAGACAAAAGAAAAATGTTGTAAAGTTTGGGGATATGTTTGGCCTCCCCTGAAATAAAGAAAATAAACATGGCTGCAGAAAACAGCTGTAAACTGCACACTTTTTAGCATTGAATTACATTATTTACACAGGACAATGCTAATTCTCTAGAATCATTCAGCATAGTGTATTGTATGATGTGTTAGCATGACGCAGCAGAGTAGATGTTACCCTAGATACTGTACGACTGAAGATATTTCATTCATTTAAACTGTCACTATGTATCAGTCAATCAGCTGACAGTACAAATACTAATGAAGACAGAGTGCAATATTGTCATTTAATAGTAAATAGAAGCTGCAAGTGAGCTGTAGTGTTTGTCTAATATAGAAACATTGTATGTAAAGTACTGTATATATCACTGTGTGTGTTTCATAGAAGCAGAGCGATTTGCTGTGAGTCTGAATTGTGACCATGTTCAGTGTAAACATGATTTATCAGGCTGAACAAATTAGGAAATCCTTGTGGGAAGTAATTGACGCAGAAAAAAAATTACCCCCCAACATTTATATATTACCCTGGGGTTATGGGACTGTTTGTTTAAGAAGTAGCCAATTAAGAAAGCAGAAGTGGCTCCAGTAGTTGTTTGTTTTGATAGATGCACAGGCTCAACCTAATTAGTTCAAACTTTGGGAAACAACATGTTCCCCCCCAGGAAACATGTTGGTTCAGGAAAAAGCTGCAGCTTGATGTCATCATACAGATTTCACTGATTATTGACATTTTCTTTTTTTTTTTTAAATAGACACAGATAGATAGATACAGATACTAGATCACATGCACACACACACTATCATCCTTAAAACACTGTAAAGGCCCATTACAAATGTAAAACTAAACACATGAACAGTTAAAATGCAAATCTCCTATTAAATGGTCCCTGAGTTGATTTTCAGTAAAGCACACCTGCTTCTTCTATAGGAACTTCAAAAACTGTATCATAATAATTAAGTTATGCTTCTTTTTATACGGTTTGTATGTGGTATGCAAGGCTGGATTACCAACCATGCAAAACCATGTGGGGTCCCACAATAACCCAGGTGTCTCTGTATGTCAGTCGTTTTTTGATCATTTGAATTCTTGCAAGTTATTCAGAGAATGTGCGCCACTAGAATACAGTATTAACTGGACCGTGCATAGGTGCAAAATCTGGTGACCATGTTTTGTAAAATCCAGTTGTAAATTCTGAACTTTCCCATGTAAAGTTGGGTTTTATCAAAATAGAAACTTGAAGGGACTTGGAGGCAACAGGGGCCGACAACATTTTGTTTTTGTGTTTTGGCCCAGAGACTACAAACAGGGTCATCCAGCCCTGATAGTTCGGAACAGGGACACAGCACAGACTCACTGAGTCCTGACTGTGACTTTGCTGCCCCCCTGTGGACAGAAAAGTGACATACACATTCAGATACCTTTAAACCCTCACATTAGTATTTATTGATGGTTGTATTTTATTGTGGCCAAAATCAAATCCAATCATAAATTGGTTTTGTGCTGTGCATTGACTCACATTGCTTTAGTAACTAAAATAACTGTAAATAGCACAGAAGGAGAAGCGGTCTGGTGAGGGACTGTAGGATGGAAAATGGAAATGGAAAAATGTACATCACTTAAGTTTAAGCACAAAACACACCGAAGGGATAAAAGAAAGCAGACACAGAGGAGGAAGATGTAATCAGATCTTTTACTACAATATAAAATGACTTCATTACAAGTAAAAGTCCTGCATTTAAAGTTTACACTGTTATCAGCAACATGCACTGAAAGTTTCAAAAGTAAAAGTAGTCATTATGTGGAAAAATACATACATTACATAACCTTCTGTCTCATTAAGACATTTCTGTATAAAACTATGTCTGAAAAACCTTATTTATTTAAAACAAGTGAGAAAATCTGTCAGCGCAGCAAAATGAACACATTCAACCTGTTATTTTAAATCAATTTGTTTAATCTATTGATCGTCTTAGTTTTAGAAAGTACTTTAAACAAGCAGATCAGCATGGAAAATAGGTTAAAACATAATGATATGATAATACAGTCACCTTTTCATCACATTTTAGAATCATTTTGTATGAAAATGTTTGACCATAAAGTAACTAGTAACTATATCTGCCAAATAAATGTAGTTGTGTAAAAAGTATAATATTTGCCTTTGAAATGTAGTGAAGTATAAAGAAGCATAAAATTAAAATGCTCTAGTAAAGTGCAGGTACCTCAGAATTGTACTGAAGTAGAGTATTTGCTTAAATGTACTTATTTACTTTTCATCACTGCCAGACTTTGCCCTCATCTGTCAGACTAAATATGCTAAATGACTCTGTGGATTATTCCCTGACTGTCCTTTGTTTTTATTTGTGTTGTGTTGGCTTTGCGCTCCGGTCCTGAAGCCCTCCTGAAACAAAGGACTCCACCATCGACTCCCCGGACGCCCAGCGCCAGGAGTGGTTTGCCCAATACTTTTCCTTTTGATTGACCACAAACCTGCAAACACAAGGATTCAGCATGTCGACCAAACTTAAAAAAAACTAAACAGAAAAAAAAAACACAGAAAAAAAGAGAAAAAATGTTCAAACTATTTGTTCTTTATTGTCATTGAGAGGTTTGGGGATCAATTCACTTTAGATTCAGTCAACTGACGCTGTCATTCATGGTTTGAGAATGAATTCTCATTGATCTGTCAGTGAAACGCACAGAACTTGATGTCATTAATTTTCACTTTAGTAAAAATGTAATGATTATCCACTTCCTGCTGTTGGCTGAGGGGAAACTGAATTGAACCCGATCCTGGCTGTCAAAATGTCATCACTCTGATCTGATTTGATTGCTTGATTATCTCTGATTGTTTCACTGTGGACGAGTTTCTCTCTTAGTACAGTGACAATGATCATCAGTATGTTTGATGTTTATTTTATTTCTTTACTTCCTAACTTATTTTGCAGTTTCTTGGAACTAGAAAAAATGAGTGGTGCATTATCATGCTGCTAATTGCCATTGTTGGACTACAGTAAGAAATATATATATAAAGAAATATACAGTAGGTTATTGTGCTCTCCCTGTACGTGGGCCCACTGCATACAGCATCTTAGACTAGGAGGGCTGATCTAAGACCAGTTTGCCTCCTCATTTATGGTGACATTTACATGGACCTGATCCTAGATCAGTTACACTGCTCTGATATGCTCCATGAATACAGGCTCTGATTTTAGGACGGCACCATCATGGCAAGTTTGTTACAGCTGCATAGAAGTTTCAGCAGATTTTGGTAGAATATTAAAACCTGTTTGTATGGTTGTCTGTCTCAACACAGATATAATGATGTCTCACCAATTTTAAAAACAAAAATAGCATATTTTATATTTATATTATAATGTGTATGCTTAATAAATAATTATTGTGACATTTACCTGTGTTTGCTTGTCATTTATTGAAATGAATTGATTAATTACATTTCATTTTATTAAAAAAAATGTTGAAATAATAAAAATGTCAGTATTTTAAGAGATGTAAGATAATAATAGTTCATTAACAACAACTCAAGTTGCAATGATTAATCAACTAACTGGTAAGACGATCAGAAAATAATTGGCAACTCTTTGATAGTCATTTCAGTCACTTTTCAAGCAACAATTCCGAACATTTGCTGGTTAGCTTCATAAATGCATAAATGTGGGGATTTGATGCTTTCCTTTTTTCTTTTTTTGTCATATTTGATTTTTGGGTTTCGGGTCATTGGTCTAATAAAACAGGCAATTTGAACATAGCATCATGGGCTTTGGGAAATGTCACTGTTTTTCTATCACTTTATAGACAAATAAGAAAATATTCTGCAAATTAATCGATAATAATTGTTAGTTGCAAATCTGATGCAGAACAAGTTTTAAATGTTAAGTGCCAGTTTGAATTCATCTTTATTGTCTCAGTGCACTTGATAATATGAGAGGAGGCTTACTAATGGGCTTCTATGGATATGATTTAAGTATTTTAGGCAAATAAAAAAGCTATAGATACAAAGGGAATTAACTAAGTCAACAACAACAGAAAACAAAACTTGTAGGTATCTGGTCCTGAATACTCTCAAATCTTGATTGATAAAAGCTTGGATTTGTCCCGTCCTGTGCTCACACACACACACACAACTAAACATGTAAACTGCAATGAAATTTGAAAGTTAAAATGCTTGTTTTCTTTTCCGATTGTGCTTATATATGTGGGTGAATGTCCCACATTTATTTAAATATTTACTTACTAATAAAATTATATGTAGCTTAGAATAAAGAGTACTGATAGCTTCTTTGCTGGTACCACAGGCTTTACGACGAACTTCTAAAAGTAACCATTAGGGGGCATTGATATCTCTTCATATCTCTTCATGATCAGCTTCACAGCGGCTGACCCGGAAAATAAACAAACCCAGAATCCGTTCCTGTACAGACTGAACATGGCGGCCTCGGGAGCCGGGTCTCCTAGCCGGCTGGTCCAGTATGTTGTTGTCCGGTCGGATCTGGTTCATAAGCTGTCCTGGCCCCTGGGGGCCGTGATAACACAGGCTTGTCACGCTGCTACCGCCGCCATCCACCTGCACTACTCAGACCCAGACACGCAGCAGTACCTGGCAGAGCTGGACTCCATGCATAAAGTAGTGCTTGGGGTAAGTGCGACACTTTATGCCAAACACCGTTCAAATATCTGTCACTTTAGTGTTGCCTACATCGTCACCAAACGTACAACGCTTATACCATTTAAATAATGATAAATGACATTGTGACCTGGCTAATTGTATCATTCGGCAGCACATATTTACTATATAGTGCGAGCTTTCAACCTGTTGTTTTCCTTCACAGAAGCGTATTTAGCCAGTTAGCTAACACGTGCCGGATCATGGGAATCACAAAAGAAGCGATTTTTAAAAACCTCTGTGTTAGTTTGGCATGTCAGATTAGTGCCGAATTGAAAAATTGCGTCCATTGGTTATACTAAGTTGGTAAATTATTTTCTAGAAGCGACAGGTTTGTGGTGATAAGCCATTAATGTTTTAAAAGTCAAAATTTTGAATGTAGTCTCGTGTTGACAGTTATTTCTCCAAACGAGATTTATTTCTACTTCCTGTCTGAATTTAGTTAGCCTGTAGGTTATTGAATTGACCTGCTTCACTGTATCCCTGCAAAACAGGACATAGCTTTTCATTACTAAAATAACAACATGTTCTCATGGGTTTCCTGGTGTTAAATCTGAAGTAATGTTTTCTGTATATATGTATTTATCATAGAGGTCTGTGACATAAATTCTCTAATATCTTGACTTAAGTGTTTGTGTGTATTTTTGTCTGTAGGCTCCAGACGAGGCCGCCCTCTCCGGTCTATCAGAGAACCTGACTCAGGCTGGTGTGTCCCACAAGCTTTGGATCGAACAGCCGGAGAACATCCCCACGTGCCTGGCTCTGAAGCCATATCCTAAAGAGACTGTCCAGCCGCTGCTGCGCAAGTTCAAACTCTTTAAATAAGTTGCTTTGAAAAGTGTTCACTTACGCATTGCAGTGTATCTTAATACTTTTCAAATAACAGCAGGAAAGAGGCCTGAGGAGCTTCATTCAAAATGTGTGAATGTTGTCTCTGTCTATGGATCAAAACAGCTGTAATTTACAAGATTAAAATCAGAAAATGATCAATTTCAGTGAATCCTGATTAATTTGCTCAGATTTCACAATGCTTTTTGTTTTGTGATTATGATTTTATGATATATGTGAGCATTGGCAGGTACAACAGTTGGCAGTGTATTATCCCACAGCATCTTAGTACAGCTCAATACATAAGTTGTATTAACATTTACACATATATATATAAGTGTACACTGTATATCTGATGCAAAAACTAAATATGTTCTGGATGGCTCCAACTACAATTTAACCAAGTGTATAATGGTTTGCATTCAGTGTTACCACATTGCCAGTTCTTTATTTGAGGATGAAAAATGTCTGTCTTGTCTCATTGTTCTGTGGCATGAGTCGAGTAAATGTTCTACATGTGGTTTTACACTTCCTCTTCATTCATACATTCATTCTTATGAATCTAGTTCTCAAATTATGTAGCTCTTCTGTCAGATCTGTTGGCCAGAATCAGAACACCTGCAAACACTATTTGCACTTCAGTTGTCATTTCTCACCTGTAATTCCTTTAATATGGAAAGAGAAATTTATATTTCAACTGGTTAAACTTTACAGAAACATTTGTCTTTAGTAGACTAGACAGACATGATAAGGATTTTACCATGACACTCTGAGCCTCTCCCTGAGGGCACAGCTAATACACGATTCATACATAGGTACTTCAGGACACACTGGGCAAAATTAGAGAAATTAGTGTCTGATTATTTTTCAGCTGGTCCAGAAACAGCAGTTACTGTATATAGAAATGCAATTGTTATAAACAGATGGATGATGAAAAACTAAACCACCATCTTCTTTGTTAAAGCTCTTACTACAATGCCAGAATTATGTAAGTATTGTAAATGAATAATTAATATGACTGGTTGGTTCTGGTTGCAATATCACTATAGTTCAACTAGAGGTGTTTAACCTTTCCCAGCCTCAACATGAGTTGACCTTCACATTTCACTTAGTGCTCTGTGGGGCCCTGTGTGACCTGGCAGCGCGGTAACAAACAGTTAACAGGTGTTACGATAAAGAGCTTCAAAACTTCTGTGTAAACCAATGTGCAAAAATGCAAAGACCTTATAAAGCGTCTGTACTTTAAGGTTTAAAGTAAAAGACAGCAACCACAGCTCACCTGCCAAGACCCAGCAGATAATTGTGTCCTCATCCATTTTATTAAATATAGCAGGGTTCATCTGTCTGATGTGTTCCTGGAACTGCTCACCTGTTCTCTCCATAACATCCAGCAGTTCAAGGTATTCTTCCAGCTTCAGTGTTTCTGTGTAAAAGTGGTAAAAAAATACAATAAGTCCTCTTTAGAATCCATGACAGAGCTCTACTGTCTGCAAGACATGTTATTTAGGGAAATATTAGACAGTGTGTACTTCATGTGTATGTATTTATCATTTTCTTAATGTGAAGACTTACACAGTGCATGATAAATATACACTATATATAACTAATAAGCAGCTGACTCCCACCATTTGACCCTGTATGCCTGGAGATGTAAAAACAACATTATTGTTTGACACAGGTCACAGACATCAGCAGATGATGAATCTGACGGAAACATACAAAAGAACAGCATTTGTTAGTGAATCTGAAAATGGCATTTTACTTGTTACAAACAGTCTATGTTACTGATACATTAGCAATGAATCCTTAAACTTCAAATGTGAAGTGTCACAGTGTGGAAGCAATTCAAAATAAATCATCTGCAGTGGTTTCTAACATGGCTTCACGTGGGTAGAGTTGATCCTCCAGTCCCTGCCTTCGCACTAGGGCTGTAACTAATGATTAATTCCTTCACTGATCAACCTCCTGATTACTTTCTTAATTAATAAATTGATTATTTGATGTAGAACAGGTCATAAAATAGAGGAAAAATGCCCAAGCTGATACATGAGCAATATTACTGATAATCTAGCACAAAAGCTGGAGTGAGGAAATGTTGGTCATTCTTGCCTGAAAAAAGACTTAAACAGTTTATCAGCTATTGAAATAGTTGCTGATTCATGTCCCGTCAGTCAACCAATTTAAGCAACATTAAGAGCTACCGAATTTCTACAAGCAAAAAGACAAGTTATGTAACATCATCTCTGTTTGCACAAGTATCATATTTCATATAATTAACCAAATAAGGAAGAAATGAGGAGAAAATCATGTTTTTCAGCTGTGTTTTCTGTCTGGATGCAGTTTTTCGTGGAATGGCAGCAGAATATTTTCACACTACCACTGCACTTTGAGTCTTCACTGGTTTATGGGCTACTTGCTTTATAGGAAGTCATTTATCTTAATGGCTAATTTCACTTCCTCCACTGGGTTTTTGGGTCTGATTTCTTTAAATTATTGTCTCACTGAGAAAATATAAAAGGCTCAATGTGTCAGTCCTGGACTGACAGATGTCACAGGCTTTACACAGGAAAATGTCTGGGAATGAAGCCAGCTGAGGGCGCAGTGGCACTAAATGAATTAACAGGTGATTTGCATAATGTGGATGAGCTTACTGTTGCCTACATAGGAAATCTGGACAGTTACCAAAATGTTTTTATAATGAGAAACCTCGTTTTTAATTTTCCACCACCCTTTCCAGGCATGTTCTAAGGAACTGCTTGCCGACAATTATTAAATATGTAAAATGAAAACAATTCAAAAAAGAAAAACAAACAAACAGTTAAGAATGCAAATGCCTGTTTTCATGAGTCATACCCTTAAACTTTGAAGTGAGACTACAGGCTCCAAAGGAATGTAATTGACCAATCAACATAATACGCACAATGTAATTACTTCTCTGAGTATTTCCCAGAATATCTACTGAAGACACGCCCATACACACACACACACGCACACACACACACACACACACACACACACACACACTACTCTCATTCTGACATGTAATTTCATCACAATACTCACTAGCACAATGCATGCGAAGGGCAGCAAGCGGTACTAGAGTAAGGATATTTAGCAGACTGGAACGATCCTAAATGTATAGTACACTTTTTACCTTTAAAAACAGCTGTTCAAGTCTGTGAGGGTAAAACTGTACACATCAGGAGAGGGTGCTGTTTACAGTCTCTATACTCTGACAGAGCAAAGTCCTTGCAAGTCTCCAAAACATAGTTTCATACCAGGGGCAACTGCATTAAATCTGCATTAATCAATATTTTTACATGAACAATGTAAGAAGCCCAAAACTGCACAAGTAAAATTCTGTTACATAAATACTGATTACTGGTGGAAAAACACTAGAAAACACCATATAAACACTAGAATCAGTCCCTATTTCTAATGTCATGCGAAATCACAGCAAGATACATATTCAAATACTCAGGTTATGCTGTTGCTTTTACACTATAGAACTTTTACAAACTTATGATTAGTAAAAGATCTGAGGCAGCAGTGACAGCACAAAAAAATGGCCAAGACCCCAAAGAAAATTACAGAAACATAACCACAGTGTCCTATGTGGTTTCAGCACCTAACTGTACTGATGTGTTTTTAAATAATATTGTTTCTTGTTCTTGATGTCTATCTTCATTAACTGTCTTGTGTGTGTGTTTTTAATGCTGTGTAGTGAAGCCAAAGACAATTTCCCCACATTGTAGGCAATAAAGGTCCCAACTACACTGTTCCCCTTATGAATTATGCAGCCACAGTGCATCAGACAGGATGCATCACTATGTAACAGATGCCATGAATTTTGTGCAGTGCCTCAGGAAGCCTATAGTTTGAACAGTGCATCCGCAGGAGTAGCAGTGAGTTGAATAGCAGTAATGAATACTCAGTGTCCTAACATAGGCAGAGGACCCTCAAAAAGCCTAATGTTAAGACTGTTTTATCTGCTATTAGGGAATTATATGTTATCGGCATTATAAGTTAATTATTGTTGACTGAATAAAAGTGAAACCTGCATTTTCAGTTTCAGTACTCACGCTACCTGTGTTGTCTATATCTGCCTTGAAGTTTCTGAAGTGTTATTATGCTTCTCCTAGATTGCAGCAGGCTGGGCTAGCACTTGTTGGAAACTCCCCTTAATTGTGCAAATAAAACTTAATTACAGTGAACTCTTACTTGGTTGTCTTCAATAATGAAATACAGTAATCATTTCTCAGTGTAAGGACCAGAATAAGCTGGTTTTCCATCTTTGTCTTATGCCCACAGCATAATGAAGACCTAACATACTGAGCCAGGAATAATGTTGCACAAACTTCATGCAGTAATTACAGTGAGTTGAATAAGAGGGCAGGGATATACAGAGATTGTGTTTTAAATGTGTTGAAAACAATTTATTACTGATTACCATTGTAAGATTATGAGAAACTGGGCCCCCAGGCACAGATGTGTAAAAGGCCCCCCACCACTCACACACAGGTGCAAGACACCCAGAATGAAAGAGACACAAAACTGCCTCAAAGGATGCAGTCACCACCACATGGCGGTCACTTTGTGTTCATTCAGCATTTATTTGTAGTAGGTTGACTGACTTTCTAACAAATAACAGTCAGTTCAAATAGAGGTTCTGGCTCAGGGTCCTCTGACTCTTTGGGCCCCTGGACCTGCACCCTGCTGACCTGTTCAGTACTCCATCCATGCTGATTCCCCTGATATCCACTGGACATGTATGTGTTCATTTGCTGATTCAGTTACTTGTACAGATGTGACAACTGATGAATTAATAGGGGAAGGGGGCCTGTTGAGGCCGCATATGTATGGGGCCCAGACTTTAGAACAACGCCACCGACTGCGTCAACACAGAGCCCACTGCATTTATCCTCAAAACACAACGTTTGTGTTAATGTAAACGTCTCATTAATGACCTGTAGTTAACAGTCATGTCTTCTTTACCTACAAAGTGGAGGCTTCTGCCCGCTGCCCTCCTCGTGAACACGCTTCGACGCTCCGCGTGCACGAGCAGCCCTGTTTGTTTGTGTTGAGAGATTGGAAATGGCGGAGAGCAGAGACCAAAGCGATAACTTGGGTTTGCAAACGCGAGTGCGCCGTCATTGAAACACCGAAACCACCCACAAGTGATTCTCGGAGTTACTTAAGATTTGCTACTGCCGATGGGATATAAGTCGGACACAGCGAAAAAGGAATTTTTGGAACAAGGTTCGGATTTAGCAAGGTGGTTAGCTAGCTAAGCTAACCGTGCTAGCAGCTTGGCGTTAGCTAGCTTCAAGTCGTGTGTGATTTTAACCACGCAGGCTTGTTTGTCAACATAAGCTGACGTTAAATCGCCAGCGAGCCAGCTAACGTACAACTTTTGCTCGGTTTCCACGTTAACCCACTTGGGTTCATAACATGATCGCCACAGTTGACCGCAAGATTGTCAATCCAAAGTAACAGTGGATAAAAAAGTCAGACATCTGACTATCC